TAATTCATTAGTTGCACATAACTAATAACTATATATGTTTAATTTTTTATAGATGATAAAATCACATTAGTAAACATTAATATTAATTTATTTTTATAAAAAAGTTAATACCCGCACGGTGCGGACCGATTTTAAAAATTCAACAAAATTTGGCTAAGAATTTGGTCAGAATGTTGGTCGGTACATTTATAGAAAGTAAAAAAGTTTACTTGGGGTTTTAAATGGTGACACACACTTTTGACATTTCATACGAAAAAATGAAGACAATTAAGTTGAATAATTATGAGGTGAAATTTTTTTTCGGATATGGTAGAGATGAATTGTATATAGTAATTTGGCTATTGAGATCAACGATAGTATCCAAACTTGAAAAATTAATCACATCCAAAAGTAAACATTATTAAAAAAAAATAGTTGATCAATATTTTCCCTTTCTATTTTTACCTTGAGATGATACCCAAAAGATTAGGTTTCACCTCAAAGAGTGTAACAAATGGTAAGAAGATGTGATTTTGATCAAACTAATTATCTTACGTGAAGTTCTTGAAGTGAAAATGTGGTTTTGTCTTCTAAAAAATCATAGACAGTTGGCAAGATTACGACATAAATAAGAAGATCAGTCCTTGGTTTATTCCAAAAAATTTCAAGTACTCACAATCACTTTTAATCTTAACTATATTTTGATGGGATTCCTCTTCTTTCTTACCATCACCAAAATATTACATCTATAGTATTGATTTCTTACATACATATAATTTTAAAATAAACAATTATTTACAATTAGTTTTGATAAATGATAAAATCAAAATATTAAACATCAAAATTATTTTATTCTTTAAAATTTATACCCGCACGATCACCTAGTTATAAGTTACAACATCCGAACCAAATAGAATATTCTTCTTCGTGTCTCCTTCTCCTTCTTTCGTTACTTTTTTTTGGATTGGAAAGAAAAATATGTTAAAAACACTTCATTTCTTCTTCTGATTCTTCCTTATTAAATCTTAAGATATTAAATCGATTCCTACAATCCATTCTCGTCTTTTATGCTTTGCTCAACAGATGAATCAGATTCCCGATCCAGATTCTGTTTGCTCTACGCCGTTTGCAAAGAGGATTTCGCCGAGTATATGATCGAAGATTTCCGTGTAGCATATATATCACTCCAATTGCATTGTTCGTCTTGTCCGCTCTGTCAATTGTGAAGATGAGATGAGGAGGGATCTGGCTACGATTGTGGAGATGAGGAAGAAGATAATTTGGCTTGGAATTGTCGGGTTTTTGGGTTTGTCGGAGATGAGGAAGAAGACGACCACGAAAAAAGCTGCCCAAAGAAGAGACCTGACTTTCAAGTCCGTGAAATACGATATTCCCCGAAGCGTTGAGTCACCGTAACACCCCGAGATTCGCCGGCGGTCAAACTCATCGACGACGATGATGATGATCCGTCATCGGAAGGCGTCGACGGTGGATAACTCCATCTCAGTTTGGCTAATCTGATTCTGGATTAGTTAGAGTTTTCGTAAATGGGTCCGAGAAGGAGCGAATGGATTTGGACTGGGTTTATCGAAGTCGAGAGAGAGTAGTTACGACGACGAGGATTTGTTTCCCCGGTGTAGAATATTGGTAAAACGACGACGTTTTGTGGTTTGGAGAAGATGAAGCGGTTTCAACAAATTTGGTTTAATGTTTTAAGTT